TATATATATATGTATATATGTATGTATATATATATATATATATATATATATATATATATATATATATATATATATATATATATATATATTATATATATATATATATATATATATATATATATATATATTAAAGTATGCGTATGTATTTGCAGAAATACGTATGAAGGTATTTATATTTATTTGTAATATATGTACTCATGTATGCACATGTATTTAAATATATATACGTATTAATCCATGCATATGTATTTGTACCATTCGCACATCAGGAATTAGATGTAATAGAAGCCCTGCGTGAATCCCGCAATGAGGTGGGCTGTGCCTGCGCAGCCAATGGCAAATGTAGCGGCCCCAAATGTCTGTGCCGCGCCAACGGAATCGGGTGTCATGAAGGCGCGTGTGGTTGTACCCACGATCTGTGTCAAAACCCGGTCTACCGATACGTATACGAACAAGTAAGAACAGAATACGTAGACGATAAAGTATGAACAGACGCAATAGACACCCAACACATTGCATGTCCCTGTCTGTGCATTATTAACGAACGTTACAGTATCGGGGGAGACTTGTACGACTCACAATGTTCACGTGCTTGTTCGTCCCTGCTCGCTCTGCGCTCTGCGGAATGGTGTGTATGCACATGAGCGTGTGGCTTGCATGATGTGATGTGATTGGCGTGTGACTTGCATGATGTGATGTGATTGGCGTGGGGCTTGAATGATGTCATATGATTGGCGTGTGGCTTGCATGATGTGATGTGATTGGCGTGTGGCTTGCATGATGTGATGTGATTGGCGTGTGACTTGCATAATGTGATATGATTGGCGTGTGACTTGCATGATGTGATGTGATTGGCGTGTGACTTGCATGATGTGATGTGATTGACTTGTGGCTTGCATGATGTGATGTGATTGGCGTGTGTCTTGCATGATGTGATGTGATTGGCGTGCGGCTTGCACGATGTGCTTGGTGCTCACGTATCTGCGCAGTACCCAATTTCTTATCGCGTGCACGGTCCGTGATTGGCTGAAAATTGAGTCGCTTTGTTTGGACGTGCGGGCTGTTGTACTATACTATCTCGTAGTTTTATGCGTCGCAGGCTCTGCAAACACCAGTACCTCTCGGCTGCGACTGCTTTCAATAACCAGTATATAAGAATGGATCGTATCAGCGTATCTGAAAAGACGACAGCCATGGCACCCACTAGGCATACACACGAACTCTGTCTCTTCCCCCCTCAAAAAAAGAAAACAAAAAAAAAGAAAACAAACAAACAAGCAAACAAACGCGTAGATAGGATTAACACGTGATAGCAGCCTACCTGCGCCATGGGCAAACGCATCCCACTTACAACTGGGACGAGACTTTCATAATTTTGACAAGAGAGTTGGTGCAAACACACTTGTTGTATTGCTTATGTATGTATATGAACGTACAACGTATATACTTGTTTCAGCCCGAACTTCGGTATAAATTTTGAACGCCCTTGCTGAAGCTAAGCCTGATAACCCCTTGACTTGCATTTCAGGAACTGATCGACTCAGAGAGAAAGCCTCACTATACCACGAGGACGAGGATAAAGAAGCAGCCGTACGCGTAGACCTAACGTTTAACGTGTTTGGACCAATGCGAGTAGCTTTTAATCATATAAAATAATATAGAAACCGGCGAGCAAACGGACGCTTGGACCCCCCCCCCCCTATTAAAACAAGAACAAAAAATAATATGGCGGGTGCCATGATTGAATTGATGACTATATATCTACTGCTCATTGATGTCAACATTTGTCTACAATGTAATATCCATCATTGAATTGTTAGACTATATAACTACTGCTCATAAATGTCAACATGTGTCTACTATGTAATATCCATCATTATATAACTACTGCTCATAAATGTCAACAGGTGTCTACTATGTAATATCCATCATTATATAACTACTGCTCATAAATGTCAATAAGTGTCTACTATGTAATATCCATCATTATATAACTACTGCTCATAAATGTCAACATGTGTCTACAATGTAATATCCATCTTTGAATTGTTGAGAGTATAACTACTGCTCATAAATGTCACCGTGTGTCTACAATGTAATATACAAGAGGACATGAAGTCGTATACAAGGATGTCGAGACATAGCTGGCAACACATGCACCCAATTATATATGCTATACCACCCAACAATATGTCACACACTCATATTATGTAGGATTGAAACAAAGACGTAGTACGTCAAGTATCAGCATAAGAGCACATTTGTCAAGACAGACATGAGTATGTTCGCTGTTGCGCGCCCACCACAGACCGGTGCGATACTGCTGCACCAGAGATGTATATGACGGATTGTCAGTTCAATGAGTTCATATACGTATACAACTGTATAATATAAGACAGTTATACACCATTATAAAATAACAATAATAGACGACAGCTATACAACATTATAATACAAGATGGTTGTACAACAATATAATATAAGACAGTTGTACAACATTACAAAAAAAGACAGTTATACAACTTTGTAATAGAAGACAGTTATACAACATAATATAAACTAGCTATACAACATTGTAATAGAAGACAGTTGTACAACACTATAATATAGTTGTAATAGAAGACAGTTGTACAACACTATAATATAGGACAGTTATACAACTTTGTAATAGAAGACAGTTATACAAATTATAATATAAAATAGCTATACAACATTGTAATAGAAGACAGTTATACAACGAAATGATATAAGATAACATTAGAATATAAGACAAATATACATTAGAATATAGGACAGTTATGCAACATTTTGATACAAGACAGTTACACAACATTATAATATAAGCCAGTTATACAACATTAGAATATAGGACAGATATACAAAAGACAGTTTCACAACAATACAATATAAAACTGCTATACAACATCATAATATAAGACAGTTATACAACACGTGAGAAAGCCATTGGCAGGCCAGGAGGACGAGCATCTACTCGTGCGACTGACGGCCAATGAGACTGTTGAAATGTCAATATGGGAGGGGTAGTCAACTCATTATCGTGCTTTTAATCCTCAGTTTGATTATGATACATTCCTAAAGAATCTGTTTACCAATATAAACGAAGTCTAAACGAACTATTCTATCACCGTGCGTGTTTGCAACCAACAGTAGGCGGTTTAGTATATCACGTGGCTGTGGCAGCATAGAACCGAGGTCTGCCCCTCATCCGCACTTCACGTACGGCGCACCAAACAGAGACAGTCGAACAGTCGAGCCTGAGATAAAACGCGCTTGTACGTTTGTACTTGTATGCGCTTATGGCTTCGCGAGTATGTTACACACACACTGGCGAATGGTTCAAATCACACAGGGATAAGACTCGCTTTCATGACATGTGCATCGAAAGTACGGCTAGGCTGGTTCTGGGCTACAGGATTGGTCTTTAGGGCTACAGGATTGTATTTTTGGGCTACAGGATTGGTGTATCGGGCCACAGGCACAGCTCTGTCCAGGAGACATACGGGGTTTATATTAGACCCGTAAAGCATTGAAGCACCGTAGCCCAAGATCCGCCAGACTAGGAACCCGTCATATACATAAGTGGTCCTGTCTCCACTGAGAGGTGATGCGGTTGTTCAACACAGCAAGCGGACATGTGGACAAGCCAAGCCGAGTCACTCAGGAGAAGAGCTTGAGAAAAGGGCAAGACATATGACCCCGTTCACGGAGTTTGGGCCGTTCCAGACGTGGCGCTTCGGATATATCTGAACCCCGTATGCGCGGGTGCCTGCACATATATGCACAGCGCATATCCACACATATACACCGCTCCGTGTATGCCTGCCTATCTCATCATCACACACGGCTGGCTGCGCATGAAGCCATACCAACGCGATCTGGTCTAATCTGTATACAAAGAAACCGTCCATCACTTATTGCCTAGGAAATGGAGTTCACATGCGTCTCCCAATGGGCATGTACCACCCCCAACCCCGCCCCACAACTCAGCACCTCACAAACACGCCACCGTTCTACATGCGCACCACCTGTGGTCTGGTACCAGTTGTGTACGGCGTATGGCCTCGTCCCCGACGGACTTCACCTATGCCCTGCGGCTGTCTATGAACCAACTATCGCCAGCTCATTGCTTCACACCCAATTGGGAGAGTTTGGAGAGGGTGCCAATGGGGTACGACAGGCCCATTAGGAACAGGCGTAGTGAACTGGCTATCTGCTGCGGCACCTCTTCGTGCACCAGACTCCCACAAGCGGATACCTGGCGATGCAGTGAGGTATTTGAGTGTGTTTTTATATATATAGCCCAAGCCCTAAAAACCTAAGTGCGTGCCACCATGATACAACATAGATATACGGGGAATAGTATTGGCGAGCGTATTGGCGTATGCTGTTGGCCTAAACCCCAAAACCCTAAGTACATGCCACCAAGACACAACATAGATAAATGGGGAATAGTATTAGCAGATGTATTGGGGAGTTTTGCTCTATGCATACCAACTCGAATCATCAGTGCCAATGTATGTGCTAGCGAGATCGGTTAATCGAAGCATACACCTAAATGGATGTACTTACTAACTGAATATGAAGGGATATGAACAAAAACCAGGATACCTACACCTAATGGATGTACTTACTAACTGAGTATGAAGGGATATGAACAAACAACCAGGACACTTACACCTAATGGATGTACTTACTAACTGAGTATGAAGGGATAGGAACAAACAACCAGGACACCTACTTCTTGCCACGAGCTATTATCTGACGGGAATTTGCCTTTGGAGTAGACCACATCGTTCAGCACAGGAGAATCGGATCCGGTGACGATCAGGGTACGACACGAAGTGCTCGCGGCTATCTTTGTCTGGTCCGGGCGTCTGGTTTATCAAAATATTGAACACAAAATATAAGCATATACAAGCATATATATAAGCATATGTATAAGCCTAAATATAAGTATGTATAAAAGCATATATATATATATATATATATACACACACACACACACACACACACACACACACATATATATGCATATATATATAAATATATATATATATATATATATATATGTATACATATACATTCTACATATACATACATACATACATACATACATACATACATACATATAGACAGATATATACATACATACATACATACACACATACATACACACACACATACACACACACACCCACCCACCCACCCACACACACATATATATATATACATATATAACCCGGTTATGGAATTGTAACTATACAATACCTCAAATATTTGATGTCAAGAATGTAATACATATGTACATTCATCTCGATGACACAAAAGAAATGGTTCGGCCCATATTACAAAAGATATCACATTAATTAAGACTAATGCTATTTTAAATGGGATTCTCTCTTGTCGAGGATTTGGTAAAACGCATATGCAGCTACTCGTGTTTGCAAACGTTCCATTGCATAGCGCATGACGGTGGAATTTAACACCAAACCAAATCAAAGAGCGAATTCAATAGGCATCCTTGCACTCCCAATACTTAATGCGGGTGTGGACGGTACATAACCAGACGTCCTTGGCATAACTCAGTACAATACACACTACAGAAGATGTGAGGCAAAGCACGTCGGTTGTCATTAAGCGGCGTGAGCTATCGACACCCCACTGTTATATGCCAAGGCAAACCCGCACAGTCTACGCACGTGTTCTTAAGGGGGGGTTGGGTTTATGGTTTTATGGTTTTAGGGTATATGGTTTTATTGGTAACTTGGGCCACAGCAGGGAGGCTGTTCAGACAGGCATATGGATACACACTAGAACATGCAATAGAAACACAGGGTATTCAGATACGAGGAGGTATACTCTATGGGACATAACTGTTGTACACACTACACACGACCATACCGTAGGTAAGACTCGGTCAACCCAATGGCGTTGCGAACGTTTGTTTCGGTCGAGAGATAGTCCTCAAAAATCTGCACAGAGTGTGATGTGCACGGGTGAGACAATAAATAGGTCATAAACATATATGAACAGCCGGTGGTTAATATACGCGCGGTTCTAGACGAACAGGCTGTAACTCATAGACACACAGTTCTATATGAACAGGCTGTAATTGATAGACACAGTTCTAATATGAACAGGCTGTAATTGATAGACACACAGTTCTACATGAACAGGCTGTAATTCAAAGACATGTATCCGGAAACACTCAACAAATCCATAAACACCATGCGTAAAGAAACATATACATAAACATACACACACACACACACACACACACACATATGTATATATATATACATATACACGCACGAACACAAGACGATCTCACACACATACCTGTACCAAATCCATATTAGAAGCCACGGTGCGATCTCCAAAGTACCGGTACAAGAACAGATCCCGTAGGTGCGATGTCATGTGATAGCCGCTAGTTCGAGCCTGGAGCAGAGACGTCTAGAATAGCAAGGGACAAGGAAACAACTGTTGAGCAACAACAGCGATTAAATAAACACAATTATGGCTGAATAAACGACACTAATCTGCAAGTGAGCGTAGTGTAACTAATTAAACACGACAATAGCTGAATAAACGACACTCATCTGCAAGTGAGCGTCGTGTAACGAATGTAGAGAGCTTATGAGCAGAGCAGACCGATAGTGCGGGAGAGGATAAGTGATATATTCATCTGAGTCAAACCCAAATACAAACAGGGTATACTATAAGTCACCCCCACAACAGTACGTTGATTGTGCATACTATAAGACACCCCCACAACAATACGTTGATAGTGTAGACTATAAGACACCCCACAACAATACGTTGATTGTGCATACTATGAACACCCCCACAACAACACGTTGATTGTGCAGAGCATGTCTGCGTTAAAGCATATAAATGCGTGTGGGACAGATGGGTACGGTAGCACGCTGCGTGCATGGGGAGTGGCAAGGAGAGGCTTCAGATAAAGGAACGAAGCATGCGTACGCATATGCAATGTCTGCTGTTGTTCGGACGAACAAAGAACATGTGTAGACACGCATGCCAAGCGAAAGCGGCATACACACGTCTGGATGAGCGCATGTGTACATACCCGTGTGTACACACAAACACACGCGCACCGTTATATACACAGACATCCCCCAACAGCCAGACAAGCACACATGCCCATCCATAATAGGTAGCACATACACGTATATGCACACGCATCACGCGCCCACACAACCCTGCACTGTCTCCATGAGGCACGCACGCACATACATCACAATGATACCAGCACACATCATGCACATCACATCACACCTTGTAGTAGCTCCACTCGTACCATCCGCATGTGGTGATGACGGGAGAAAACAGGATCATGCCCATGACCTTTGTTTTGATGTAGTCTTGCTGTGGCGAGAGTGGAGTGGGTAGTTTGGAAGAGATTATGTACGTATATATATATATATATATATATATATATATATATAGTAGAGAGTATATAGTAGTAGTAGAGAGAGAGAGAGTAGTACGTCGTCGTGTCGTCCTA